TCCATATTGCCACGGGCCTCTGAGGCAGAGGGACAAACGAGAAACGGTCAGTACGTGGCTCAGCATACATGGCACCCTCAACCCCGACGAGATGCCATCGTGTCCGTCGTGGAAGTGCTAACGGAGACATGAGATGGCCACGGAAGCGAGACATATCGTTTGCACTCCACTCGTAGTGTGAGCACTGTGAGAGTGACAAATGCCAGTCCTCTGATTCATCTCCGACTCGCCGACACCAAAACACGAGGAGGTCGGGCAAGACATTCGACGAGTCTCACATACGTAGCTGATACAACGCAACAACGTACGTCGGAACAGCATCCCTTGCTTATCATGCTTTCTCCATGTGTTGCTCAATCTTCAGCCAGGCCCTGAGCTACAACCGCACAGGACCCGGGTAGAGTCTGCACAGACAGGCAGGAACCTTTGTCTGCGTATCTGCGTACAAGGTATTATTAGTAGCTATTCATAGTACACCGGGGGGACCATCCCGACCCTGGCATGTGGGATGCATGTAATTATCTCCAGCGCGTCTTCTGACGGGACGGCGCCGAACACTCGGCGGTGGACAAGACATATAACCTACGTGGTACATAGATACATGTACGCATATCTCGTCCTGGAGAACGAACGCATCGTCTGTCCGCCACGTCCTTCACCGCCCTTGAGACGTCTCCAACACAGCCCACATCCGCCACGGCGTTTCGAAGGCAGCTGAGCAAGATTGGATAGCTTTATGGGGCCGCACAGAGCTCTGGTGTATGTATGCATGCTACGAGCCCAAGACAGCAGTGTCGACGACGGTCACACACGAGGGCATTCATCAGATGGAGTTCCATCCTCGGTGACAACCCTCCGTGGATGCCGTCGAAGTGGTCGGTCAGGCTGTCGAGTCGGAAGCCTCAAGGGTAGTTGTGGGTGATATCGTATTTATGGCTTTATGTAGATCGCCTTTTTCCCGTCCGCCCCGCGGACTCCCAAGTTTCCCAGGAGGAAGCAAAATCTGAATGTCAGGACGGCGGTTATGAAGCATTGGGGTCGTCATCAGAAAGTCGAAAACTACAAGCTTTTACTTCACCTCTTGTGGAAATAAAGTTGCCCCGGGTCTCAATGACATTACCCTGAACCACGTACGCTCGTACGGTTTGCTGTAGTTATCTTCTTGTGCCGTGAACATACGATGCGTATGTAAGAGCTTCGACACCAGTGAGAGTATGGCGGCGCTTCACCATTTGACCAAGCGGTCATAGGACGACCGCCAAAGATAAAAGCTATCCGCCGATATAGGAGTCGAAATTCAGAGCGAGATGAAAAGAGGACTTGCGGTGGGCCATGAGAAATCATTGGAATCCCAGTGAGGCGACATTCAAGACCGCGAAGCTTTCCGCCCGAGAATCATTTCTAAAGACTTGTGAGTCGTGACAGCCCTAATACACGGGAGTATAGTACACGATGGTTCATGGAGGTATCGACACAAGGAAGAAACCAAGTCACAGTGTGCATATTCGCTGTCTAATTGGACTTTTCCCGGTGACGACTTGTCTTTAAGAAGCATCGACACAGAATAGACCATGATCATCCGCCGACAACAGTCCACCGGACAGGGATTCATACGCGGACGGATGGGCCGCCTTACGAGGAGCCATACTTCCTATCCTACGAGTCCAGTCCAGTTAGTGAATTGACGGTTAAAACCAACACCTGAGAGCCTCATAAAACAACAAAGATTCTCGGCAAGGGACTGGGCATACTTTATCAGGAACGGGAAATTCGGAACCGGTGGCCCCCTTGTACTTCGAGCGGATGGTGTCGGAGATGACCTCGTCCTTGGCCTGCTCGGCAGCGGTTTCGTTGGATTGTTGGTCCTGACCTAAGACATGCTCCTGGACAAAGTCGACGCCTAAGATGCAATGAAAGAGGCCGTTTGGTTTAGCAATAGGACAACACAGGGTTGGTTATTCGGGGTGTTTGGAGGGTAAGAGGTTCAGTACCCACCCTTGTCGAGGTAGTCCTCGTTCTTCTCGCTTTGAGGACCACCTCCCGTCATGGAGTTGACCTTGTCCATAAGACCCTGGCCACTGCCGCCGCTGACGGCCGAACTTGTATTTTCTTGAGTGCTCATCTGCGGCTTTTGGGCGCCCGATTTGTCGGCCGTCATTTTGTTGATGAAGTCCATGGTCAACAGGTACAAGGGCCCAAGCTTGGATGATGGTGGTGTACAGGGGAATGGAGGAAGAGAGAGAGCTTTGTTGACTGATGTGGCTTTGATATGGGTCGAGTAAGGTACAGGTAGGTTTGGGGAGGAGATGTTTGTCGGGAAGAGTACAGGTACGTAAACGTGTAGAGACGGAGAAGGCGCTAAGAGAACAGACAGGTGAAGGGTCCTCTACCTTATATATACTTCCAGTCCCTTGATCTCGTAAGACCTTTGCCAGGACTGGATTCGCGCTTAAACCAAGCGTGCTACGTATAAGAACGAACCCGGAGCTGAGATTCCCGAGGAAGCATAGCTCGACAGCTGAGAACAAGCCCAACTCATCCAATGAACGATCGCGCAGGGTAGGACGGACGGTGGACTAAGGCCTCTATAGGATCAGACATGAGGCACTACGGAGAGCAACATGTTGCGGTCAACCCTGTGGACCTGGAAGTTTTGAGAGGTACAAGCAGGTGTTGTATTCGTACGGAGTACAGAGCAAGTGAGACCGTCGCTGTTGAGATGGTGATATCATCACTGACGTCGAGTCGAGATCTGCCGTTCGCGTTTGTGGCTTATGTCAGCATGGGTCGTAACTTCTCACTTTTCAATTACCTTACCTCAGATAGGTAAGGTAAGGTACCTTTTGTACTTTGGCCTGAGCTGGGCTGGACGATTTCAAGCACCACATAAAACATTACGGCCTCATATCTCCTGGCCTCATAGTCCTCTTCTCATTGATTAGTCTGTCGGAGACCACTTACTGGACGAGCGTATTCAAGGAGTCATTTTAAGAGTCACCGAGGGAGTCACCGCCGTGGCTGCCTGAATAATAACCGTTGATGACTACAAAAGTGTACCTTGTAGGATACCTACCTTACCTTTAGGTACTTACCTTACCTTAAGGTACCTGTACCTTATATAAAAGGTGGGGATGGGGTTTACCAACGTGGAAGTCAAAGCTAAGAATACGTACCCGCCGGGTTGAAGGGAAGTGCGAAACCAAGCATCAAGCTTGAGCTCTTTAAACGCCGCATCTCTCCAGTGTCAGCGACTCCGATCCCCATCCGTTTGGCCAACTACGCACGCCCGGAGGATGAGCGCCAGCGCCAGCGCGAGCGCGAGCGCGATGGACAAGACGACCGAAGACTTGCTCCGGCGACCGTTGTATAGTACGAATCACACCTCACCAAGGTACCCCGCCATCGGTGTTATCATCATCGCTGACCTTCCCACCTCGAAAAAGTTTACGATCTCCCCCCGGAAGTCCTCGCCACTCTCGCCCTCAAACCCGACGTCGACAACCAGCCTCAGATCTCCGACACCTCGAGCTCGCCCACGAAAGACAACGATGACGCTTCGGAAAACGTCGTCGGGTCCCAAGCTTGTTCCCTTTGCGGGCTGAGCTTCGCTTCCGTCCAGGAGCAGAGGAGCCATCTGAAATCCGATTGGCATCACTACAACCTAAAACAAAAGCTCCGAGGGGACAAACCTGTCGCAGAGGTTGAATTCGAAAAGCTAATTGAGAGTATGTCCTGGGAGATGTCGAGAGGCCTTAGCCGTGCAGATACTTGATTCCTACGTTCCGTTCTATTTCGGTGCAGACCATGCGCTAACAACAGGCTGCCTCCCAGATCTCGATGAAAGTCTGTCGGGCTCCGACTCGTCTGATTCAGACTCGGGAGATGATGGCTCACGAAAGGAATCGACATTAATTACCCTCCTCAAGAAGCAGGCGACCATCGCGGAGATGAAAATCGACGCAAGCGGAAACGAGGATGGCGAAGAGGAGGCCGCCACCGGTAGACGCAGTCGAAACCGTGGGAAACCTCCGTTGATATGGTTTAGCTCATCCCTCTTGCCGACGAACACCTACTTTGGGCTCTACCGGGCTGTCCTGACTGCCGAAGATGTTCGGGATGAGCACAGTTTCGTCGACGTCGTCAAGAGAAAACAACTCGAACCCATTGCCATGCCCAAGCCAGCGAAGGATGGCAGCCTTCCCGAGATTGCCTATAAAGGACCCCATTTCTTCCTTTGTATGGTTGGAGGGGGTCATTTCGCCGCTATGGTCGTGGCTCTGCCCCCAAGACAAACAAAAAACGCGGGTGGTCCCTTGAATCGAGAGGCCACCGTCCTCGCCCATAAGACCTTCCACCGGTACACCACCAGGAGGCAACAGGGTGGCTCGCAGTCGGCCAACGACAACTCAAAGGGCAACGCGCACTCGGCTGGTTCGAGTCTACGTCGATATAATGAGCAGGCCTTGGTCGATGATGTCAGGGGGCTATTGCAGGACTGGAAGGGCTTGCTGGACACGGCCGAGCTGCTCTTTGTGCGTGCCACAGGTTCCACGAACCGCAGAACGCTGTTTGGGCCATACGACGGTCAGGTGCTGCGGCACAACGACTCCCGCCTCCGTGGGTTCCCCTTCAGCACGCGACGGGCTACGCAAAATGAGCTGATGCGCTCTTTCATCGAGCTCACGCGGCTCAAGGTCCGGGAAATCAGCCCGTCCCGGGAGCCCATCGTACCGCCTACCGACGCGTCCATCGCCTCCACCAAACCAGCGACCCCTAAACCAGCCAAGCCGAAGCCCTCCGAAGAGGAGGAGACGGCTCTCCTACACACCTCGCAGATCCAAGCGCTCATACGCCGCTCTAAGCTGCCGGCCCTGCTCAACTACCTTCAGACCAACTCCGTCTCGCCGGAGTTCCGCTTCGTGCCCCTCGATCAAAACCACCACGCACCCACCCCACTCCACCTAGCCGCCCACCAGAACGCGGCGCCCATCGTCCTCGGCCTTCTCACCCGCGGCGGCGCCGACCCTACAGCGACAAACGAACAGGGAAAGACTCCCTTCGAGCTCGCCGGCGAACGTGCCACACGCGACGCGTTCCGCGTGGCACGGTCTGAGCTGGGCGAGGCGAAGTGGGTCTGGGACGCCGCGCACGTGCCCGCGGCCTTGAGCAAGGCGGACGCCGACAAGCGCGAGGCGAGGGAGCGGACCGAGCGGGAGGCCAAGGAGGCCGAGAGGCGGCGCACGGAGGAGGAGAGGCTCAAGCGTGAGGGACCGACGGTCAAGACGACGGCAAAGAAGGTCGCAGCGGCGGCGGGCTTGGACAACAGGGGTCCGTTGAAGACGGCACAGGAGCGGAGGGAGGAGGAGGCGAGGGGGTTGACGCCCGAGATGCGGATGCGGTTGGAGAGGGAGCGGAGAGCCAGGGCGGCGGAGGAGAGGCTTCGACGGATGCAGCAGGGGAGATGAGGGGATTATTATTACACGCGGAATGCGTCTAGACAGTTCTCACTTGGACATACCATACGAGCGACAGCGAGAGAATCCCACGGCATCCTTCCTAGCAACGACGAGGCTCGAACATCCAAAATTGGAACATCAAAATACCTCAAGCCTATTATTGCTCGTGAGCCACTGCAGGCAGGCGGGAGTGTTATGGAGCTCTCAACCCCAACTACATAATGCTCATACCGGGCCAGCCAAGCTAGGACAGAATACGGGCCAGGGTTGTGTATACGTATATTGTAGCATCTAATAACCAGGGACTCTGAGCTGGCGTCATGTACGAATACCTTGTATAGTTCTCTAGGCTGCTTCGTGAACATTGATTTGTGGGATTATCCTCCTAAGAAACAGAACAGAGGAGACAGGTTCTTTCGGCACCAAGGTTGGAAAGCGCACACCGGGTCTACTCCACAGCACTACCATGCAGCTAGGAGATAATGACCATAGGTCTGACTCGTCGAAGTCGTCGAAGTCGTCGCGAACACCTTTACCATCTCTCGGTTTCTGTCGTCCGAGGTTGGCGAGACTTCAGTCACATGACAACAGTCCCGACATTGCAGTCCTTGTGCGAACCCGAAATAGGCGACAGCATACTCCGATTATTCCTGGTCTATAGTGTGGTATATCGGTACGAGTTGGACTTACACGATAGGACATTTTATTTCCGCCCCCTTTTATCCTTACGGTCTCTGATCTATACTTCGTACGCATAGCACTCCAAATATAGAGCAGCTAATAACTTGGTCGGACAGAATCTTCTGGGTGTCAAATGGTTAAGAAAAAAAATAGGAAAAAAAAAAAGAGGGGTGCTGTGTTCTTCTCGTATTCACAGATTCAGGTGAAGTTGGTGGCGTAACCCCCTTCTCACCCCGAAACAACAAGACTTGACCTCAGGTTAACGGCTTTGCTGTTAGCAGGACAAGTCGTGAGCTGTGGCGATACACCAACGAAGTACCTAGGTAGTTACCTTACCTTATACTAATAAATGCCTTCATACTTTATTTCGTACGTGAAGCCCACGCTACACCGCACAACCCGACCAGGTGGATAGGTTAGGCACGCTATGGCCACTGCTCTGAAAATCGGCAAGCCAAAGAGTTCCAGACCGTCCAGTCGAGTTGACTTGCGGCTGTTTATTAGCTTGTTTAGGTATGTACACTACATACGATACGGAGATGTGTTGCCCCTGGTATAGAGAAGCTTGGACCCCGCCGGGGCTTTTGTCCCATCTGGGGGCCCACAATTACAACGGTACCCACCGCCAGCGTCGCATTCAGCTGTGAGCCGTTGACTACATTGGTAGCAGTGCCATTAGGTTTGCAACGTGAAACGTGAAACGTGAAACGCGCGAATGGCCTCGTTCGTCCGCTAACCTCCCAGCGGCCCCTCCTCTGCCAACAAGAAAACCGCCGAGCTTACCGGTACGGGTCTTGATGCGGTTACTACCTCAGTCCAGAGTATGGAGTAGCGCTCCCTGTACGTTGTATGCCTCTGAGGAGAAGAACGAAATCCGATCAACTGATAGGAACTTACTAGGCTAGTCTGGTTTCTTACTCGGGCGAGCGATTGTTTTGTTCCGTGCGTGCCAAACATTATGCGTTTATATCGCCCAGTATTGGAGTGCGTATTATTAGGCGGTTATGGACCGATGGGGGGGAACGATGCACTTATACCAACTTTTTGCATCGTCGACGACAGAACACACGATTGGACCACAGGAAAGCCGAATCGCCGAATCGCCGAATCGTACCTGCAGTAGCGCGCTGACGGGGGCGGTTGGGACCAAGTACTTTGTAGAATGTTTCGTCGGTCGACTTCGAATACAAGGCCGTCCCGTTAAGTTGTCTCTCCCTTTTTGGGTCCTTGGGCGGCTACGGTCTTTATCGTCCGTTGATTTAATGTTTGTCATTTGTATTCCCATTTCTTTCCTCCCAAGGTCCCTTAGAACAAAAGATTCATACGAAGTATCGTATCCATACCAGGTGCGTTTCGAAGATACATCTACATCTGTATCCGTATTCGCTCCTGGTCTCTTAATGTACCTTAAGGTAGGTAGGTACCTTAGGTATACGCCGTACCTCGACTTCGTCTGGGGCCGGACGTTTTACTCCCCTTAATTAAGCTCCAAAACATGCAAGCCACCCCTGAAAGCGTTGTCCCAAAATCAGGTGTATTACTAAAAGCGGTTAACCCTGCGATGGGAAATGTGGGGTCACCGTCTGCGTCTCCCTCACCCTCACATGTGACTCCACCATCGACATCACAGCGCTCAGTGCTCGGACTTCACCTCCAAAGACATCCCAAAGTTGTTTGCCGAGTTGTTTCATCCTTGGCTTTGTCCCTCCTGTCAACCCCCGGTCCATGATGCCACGAAATCGACGTGCTTCTTTCTTCCAAGTTCGATCCTCCCCAGGCCAGGATCGCCCTTAGGCGAAGCCAGGCCCGGTGTACGAAGTACGGATATCCATGCTTGGTGGTCTTTCAAAGGTCGATCGGTGCTTTACGTTGTACATAGATGCTCCCACAGGGGCGCCTCCCGGGAGGCCAATGCGAGCAAAGAAGCCGAGTCCCACTTGGTGCATGGATGCTGCACGAAGCCGCCGGTTCTTCAGGTAAACGGTCCGTTTTGTCTAGTACGGAGTCGCCCTAGATACCGACGACAGCAACTTCGTCAACCGACCCATTTGCAAGGGTCTACGAATAGCTCTCCAAGACCCTCCTGAAGCGCCGGTCCTGGAGGATACGGGGCAAAGGAGATCGATCTCCTTCAATGACGGGCCGACAGTGTAACCCTTTGGGACAGGCATAGCTGCCCTCCTCCTCTCTGATATATAGCTGGTCTTTGTTCCCCCGGCCACCTACTGCTTCGTTCTTGTCTTTGTCTTCCACTTCATCGCCATTTCTTCCTGTTGAGTTCCATTCGTTCGACTACCCTCAAGTCGTTCTTTTTTTCTTTTTCTTCTTCCCCCCACCCCTTTCACCTTCGTTTGTAAGCCCAAGGCCACTCGCTTCCCTTGAGCTATTATCGTTAACAACACTATCTTGATTTGTTTCTCCTCTCTCTTTTCGAACGATACTACCACAGGCTGGAAGGTATATATTTATTCGGTTTCTCAAGCAATCATGAAGACTCTTCTGCCTCTTTTGGCCCTTGCCGCCAGCCTTGGCGAGGTTACCGCTACTGTAAGTTCCACCCTCATTAACATACACAACTTTTGCCACATACGGCTGGCAAACCCATGCGCACCGAGCCTGATCTAACGGTCCACCCCCAGTTCCGCTTTGCCAACCCCTTCACCTGCCCTGACAACATCGACAACGACTGCTTCGACGACCACCAGAGGAACGGCTTCGACTGGCGCGACCTGGTCCCTGGTAACTTCGGCAACTATGCCGGCTTCGATTTCAAGGGCTGGGCCTTAGAATCCAAGGTGTCGCGTTTCAACGACAGGGCCATCGGCGGTGTCTGCGGCCTAACCAAGGCCGAGTCCCCTTCGTTCGGCTCCGGCAAGAAGTTCTCCATCGACTGGTTCGAAGTCACCCCCGAGTTCGACTGCGACCTCGAGTTCCACTACGACATGCCCGACGGCAGCCAGTGCCGCCACCGGGCCACCTGTTCGAGCCGGGGTACCACCGTGAAGAACACGCAGTGTGGTGGCGCCATCAACGTCACCGTCGTCTACCCCAGGCAGCCTCGCAGCTCCAGGAACAACTGCTTCGTCAACATCTGGAGGATCGGTTTTGACTGCGAGAGGAAGAAGCCCCCCAAGGGCCCTGCGCCTCCCACGCTTCCTCCCCCTACTACACTCAGCACTGTTGTCCTTCCTCCTGCTACTTCCGAGCTTCCTCTACCCTCTGAGAGTCCCGAGCAGCCCGAGCAGCCTGAACAACCCGAGCAGCCTGAACAACCTGAACAACCCGAACAACCCGAGCAGCCTGAGGCCCCCAAGTCCTCTTCCGCCGTGCCGCCTGCCGAGAGCACTCCTGCCGAGAGCACTCCTGCCGAGAGCACGCCTGCCGAGAGCACGCCTGCCGAGAGCACGCCTGCCGAGAGCACGCCTGCCGAGAGCACGCCTGCCGAGAGCACTCCTGCCGAGAGCTCCCCGGCCGAGTCCAAGCCTCCCGTTCCATCCAACCCCCCTCAGTCTTCCGAGGCTCCCGAGTTCCCCGGCGAGACCCAGCCTCCCGTCTTCTCCAGCACCTCGAGCGCCATCCCGGAACAGAGCCAGCCCCCTGTCTCTTCTCAGCCGCCAGCGGTGCCCCAGGAGCCCATCACCGAGGTCACCACCTATACTACCATCTCGACCATCTTCACCACCATCGTATCCACCGTTACCGACTGTGGTCCTGAGATTCCCGAGTGCGCTGGTGGTACTCCTCCCGTCGTCACCGTCACCGTCCCCCTGACCACTACTGTCTGTGATGTGACTGAGACTATCACCCTCACTCCTGAGCCCACTGGCACCTTGCCCGTCGTTCCCGAGCAGCCCGGTCAGCCTCAGCCGGAGCAACCTGGTCAACCTCAGCCCGAGCAACCTCAGCCCGAGCAGCCCGAGACTCCCGAGCAACCCCAGCCCGAACAGCCCGAAGTCCCTGCCCCCACTGTCACCGGGCCTGCGTCTCCCATCGAGACTCTCCCCTGCCCCGACGTCGTCCCCAAGTGCCTGAACACATGGCTGTTCTCCGTCGCCTGCTCGGACAACACCGACGTCGCCTGCTACTGCCCGGACACCCTCTTCGTCGAGCACATCTTCACCTGCGTCTACGCCCACGGCGAGACCGACGAGATCATCGCCGAGGCCGTCAAGTTCTTCCAGGGTATCTGCGCTGGGCACATCCCCGAAAACCCCGCCATCATCACCGGCGCCGACCCCATCACCACCGTCATCACCGTCGCCCCCACCCCGGTGCCCACCGATGCCCACTACACCACCATCGTCGTCGACACGACCCTCACAGTCCCCCAGGTCTCGGACGGCTCCACCATCGAGGGCTCCCCGGTCGTCACCGTCATCCAGTCCACCATTGAGGTTCCCGAGGTCGGCTTCACCACCTCCGGCGTGGAGGCCATCCCCGTGGTTCCTACCCCCGTAGTTCCTACCCCCGTGGCTCCGGGCGCTTCGGACCCTGTCGGTAGCGGTGGCGTCTTGCCTTCCGAATCTTCCGACCCGGACTTGGATTTCCCCGTCCGGGCCGGTGCCGGTAAGGTCGCCGCCAGCTTCGGTGCGGCCGTGGCTGCCATGGTCGTTGTTGCTGTGTTCTGAGCTTAGCCAAAGGTGGCATGGCTCTTGCGCTCTCATCATTCCCTCCTCTTTTTCGTTTTACCATGTCAATCATCGAAGCAACTATGAGGCCGATACAACATCGTACAAAGGAGAAAACACATACACATACATATATACACATATGAACTATCCTTGGACAGGGAACATACTTACATTTCTTACGATCCTTATGAAAGACTTTTTGTTATCGCGGTTTATTTTTTTTTTTACTTTTTGTCAAGCTGTATAGGGGGTATAGGACGGTGCCACTTGGGGCGAGAAAAGGAATAAATGCTTGGACAATACCCTGGGTGCTTAGAGGTGTAATAGTAATTGGTTGAAATAGAAGAGAGCGTGTCCTTGGCTTCAATATTCTGCCATTCCGACTTGAGATGAGCAACAGGAAGTGGGAATTCCCCCTCTTAATTATTATGCCCGCTGCAGATACTAACTTATCATTTGTCGTGAATAATTGGCATCTACCTTGGACATATGTCTCTGATGGTAATGTGTTTTCAATTTCTTTATTTCATGACGGCTAATCCTAATCCTTCGTGTAAATCATTTTTATGCCTATACGTCCGCCTCTCTACATGGAGTTACAACCCCGTCGATCGGGGATATCTTACCACCCCCCTTTTATCATCGCCATTCTTGTCTCTCCATTCCGGTAAAGACCTCTACGGAAGCAGCCTCTTGGGCGTGCGAGGGTAGTAGCTCGTCAAATGCACAGAGGGCAGGTTCAGGAACCAAGCGACGACGCGGTCGAGGCCGATACCGCCACCGCCATGGGGCGGGACGCCGGCGCTTCGGAAGACGTCGATGTACTCCTTGATACCGGGGGAGTTGGGGTCGATGCCCTTCTTCCGGATGCGGGCCTCGAGGAGGGCAGGGTCGTGGATACGTTGACCGCCGCTGAGGATCTCCTGGCCGCGCATGAAGAAGTCGTAGGCGTTGGTGACGCGCGGGTCGGCCGGGTCCTCGAGGGCGTAGAAGGGGCGGGCCTCCTCGGGGAACTTGTCGAGGACGTAGAAGTCCGTGTTGTACTTGGCGCGGATGAGCGCGCCCAGGGCCTTCTCTTGCGGGGTGGACATGTCCTCGAAGTCGCTCACGTTGCGGAACTCCTCCGGGCCTTCCTCGCGGAGGAGGCGCTGGCCCTCGGCGAAGGTGAGGCGGACTTCCTTGCCCGGTTCGGGCAGGAGGAAGTCCTCGGACGGGTAGACGGCGCGGATGGTCTCGATTTGCTCGGCGCAGCGTTCCGCGAGGCCACGGAAGATGTAGAGCAGGGTCTTCTCGAGCATGTCCTGCACCTCGTGATAGTCGTCTTCGATTTCCATTTCGAGATCGAGACCGGTGAACTGGTAGACATTAGATTTCCCGGTAGCCAAATGAAGGGGGGAAAAGAAACGAAAAGGAAAAAAAAGGACAGGTAACCGACCTCAGTCATGTGCCTCGGGGTATTGGAGTTCTCGGCACGGAAAACGGGACCAATGCAATATACTCTCTTTCGGCCACCGGCAATCTCAATCTGCTTGTAGAACTGGGGAGACTGGGCCAGACAGGCAGTCTTATCAAAGTACGGCAAGACGAAGACGTTGGCGCCGCCTTCCGATGCGGCCCCGATCAGACAGGGAGGCTCGAACTGGACGAAGCCCTGGGAATCGAGGTACTCGGCAAAGAGCTTCCGGGTGGCCATGCGGACATCGGCAATGGCCTGCTGCACGGGGGCACGCTTGTGCATGACCGGGTTGTTGAGATGGGTGATCATACTAGCAGCGGGAACGCCGTCGAGAGTAACGCCCTCGACACCCTCCCTAGCCGCCTCGACAGCAGTAGTCCCGTCAGCAGCAGCAGCAGCAGCAGCAGCAGCAGAAGCAGCGGGAGCGGGATGCTCCTCGTCATCGAAGCTCGAGATGGCGCGGTTCGCAGCCGCGAGACCGAGGCCCAGCACCTCAGGACCCCGGGCGACGAGGTAGCACTTGGTGATGTGCAGCTCGTACAGGCTGACCTTGCAGCTCTTGACCGGCTCGAGCGGCTTCTGGACGGTAGCCTCGACCAGGACGAACGACTCGAGCGGGAGGGCGCCGACCCACTTCACCATCGGGCGGGAGACGGGCTTCCCCTCGGCGCTGGCGGTGATGACGCCCTGCACGGCCCAGTTGCGCTCCTCGCGCAGCTCGACGAAGCACATCTTGGCGCCCTGCATGCGCGAGTTCTGCACCCAGCCGCGCACCTTGACGCTCTTGCCGACGTGCTCCTCCCCGAGGTCGCGCAGGTGCACCCGCTCCGCTTCCACCTTGGTCGTGTGGTTCGGGTCGCCGTAGTTGTCCTTGGCCAGGTCCTCACCTCCGGCCGCGCCGCCGGCGGCCTTCCTGGCGGCCTCGGCGGCTTCGCGCTCGGCGGCCTTGCGAGCCTTTTCGGCTTCTTTTTTCGCTTTGGCTTCGGCCTTCTTGGCTCCCTTCTTGGACTGCTTCTCGCCGCCGGCATCACCGCCATTATCCCCGGTCGGAGGGGATGGGTTATTGGAAGGAGAGGCGGCGGCGGCGGCGGCGGCTTGCGCGGGGTCGGTGGCGGGAGCGTCGGCCATGTCGACGATGGGACGTTGCCTAAATGGTTTCTATAATTTTTTTCGTTATCTTTTCTTCTTCTTTTCTTTCTGTCTCTTCTTTCGCTGTAAGAAAGGAATTCGTTAAATTGTCGTATCGTTCAGAGAGGCGAGTCGATCGTTTGAAGAAAGGTGAGGTGTGTGTGTGTTGTTTGGACGTGACTCCTGTCAAATTTCCAATGGCGGGGTGACTTTTGAGGTCCATGAATCGAACCCCTCCTCGATCGTTACCTAAGGTACCTACCTATCTGGCTTATCGGGACCAGCTTATCGATAACGACCCGATATACGCGTTATTGTACTCTACTCTGTAAACAACATGGCCACTCAATTATACAGTTTAGGAGCCAATGGAGTTCAAGGGAAATCCCCCTATTCCACAACACAACACCACGCCCTCGGCCTCATGTGGATAAATTACACCAGAGGGAAGAGATAGATTATCCCCAATGATGCTTAGTTTATCAGAATCCGTACCAGTAATAAGTCTCTTAGGATGCTGCACAAGGCGCAAAGAACCTTTAATTACACACTGCATGCCTCTTCCTGTAATTAGCCGCAGAACCCTCCCAGACTCAACCCGACAAGAATAAAAACAAATACGAAGAGAGGGAGGGAGGGAGGGAGGGTAAAAGAAAGCGGTAGAGAAAGAGAGGAAAGAAATGGAAAGGTCGCGAAGACGGAAAATATGGCCCAAGGCCTGCCATCTCAAAACGCCTCATGATGCAGTTCATGGAAAGGCAGAAATGCCAAAAAAAAAGGAAAAAAAGGAAGAAGAAAAAAAAAAAAGCGAAAAGCACCCTACGAGCCATGCATAAACAAATTCCCTTGAATGATAGTCTCCAAGTGTCAGCGATATCGGACTTTCTCAGCTCGACTCGACTACTCTTGACAACCCCCTTTCCTCTCTTTCGTCAACCCCAATTCCCTTCTCGGCCTCCTCCCGCCAGCTACCTTAGGCACGTGGCTGGACCGCCTCGGTATTCTCACACGTAAAGAGGTTGATGTTGTAGTCGCCCCGAGAAGCACAGCCCAAGATGGGCCGGTGCGGGTGGAACGCCGTGGCCGAAATGGGCGATCCTCGGCTCTGCTGGAGGAAGCTCGAGTACGGTTCCATCTCCGATAGTCTCTGGCCCTCGAAGTTGAATACCCTGACACGGCGGCTCGAAGTACCCCTGTCAAAGATGAGTTGGCGGTGGTTAGGAAGGTGAAAAGACGAAGAAAAA